TCAGGAAAAACCACAAGAATGGCATGAAATTTTGAGTGAATTCTTTTTGAAGGTAAGTAATATTTATACATACATATATGCTCATTGTAAAATAAGTTTTTTGTATCTAATTCCAATTTTGAAATGAATTTTTTTTTTGATATAGATCCAAATGGTTGAAACAAATAGGGCTTTCCAAATGGAATTGATTGTTCTTTCTTCTGAACATGAAAAACAAATAACAAAATATTTAGATCGGTTATTACAAGAATTGACAGTGAATTATCACTTTCTTTTTTTTGTTTTTAAAAATTTGATCATTCAAAAGCTTGACCATTACTGAAAAGAGTTTAAATGATTTGTTATAGTCATGGAGATCGAGAATTGAGATCGATGAATTAGCACCATCTATTAAGAGAAAGAATGATCAAGAGGATGGACCACGGAGTACGTACATATTTTAATTTATTACGTTAACATATATACATGTTTAATGGATATAACTTTGTATGAATTTAATGTTTAGTTGAAGAGAATGAGAATCCGACAAAAAAAATTCAAAAGTTAATGGATCCACAAATTGTTCAAATCAAGGCAACTAACTCAGAGGTAAGGTTTTAAATATTAATGCATAATACATAATAACGAAAAGTAATTGATTTATTTTTGATTTTATACTTTTTATATTATATACTTTTAGATCGAGCAGAAAATCGATACATTCATTAATCACAAAAAGTCCGAGATTAATGATAGTAATCGGGCAGAATTTTTGCGGAAATCGAATAATCCCGAAGGTATTATGTAACATATGATTTTACATGTACCTGGAGGCACCTAAAAATTTACCTCTTACGAAATTATATAATTATATGTATATAGATATTATATCATGCGCTCGTTCTGATGCAGCAGAGATCAACCGCAATATTCAAATGAAGCTTGATGTTGTAAACAATGAAGATGGTCCTTTAGCACGCTCAACGTTTTCATCATCACATCAACGGAACGAAGGAAATAAGACGTCAGCAACTTATTTATCTTCAGGTGTAGAGGAAAGAATACAGAATATCGAAAAACATTTGAATGTACAAATTGGTAAAAGACAATAGGTTTAAATTAGATTATGGTTTTTTTTAACAAGATTTTTTTAACTGACATTATTTATGAAATAAGTTACACCGGTTCCTCTGGATGTTTATACGAGAATAAAAATTTTGGAAGATAAAATTATGCAACTCGAAAGAGAATATCCACCTTGGGCAGCTTTAAATTTTAATCAACCCAATCGACAGGTAAGCAGCAATTAATAATAAAAGATTATAAGTATTATATCAGATAACTAAACATTGACAAATATTGACATAAAAAAAAAACATTAGCTGCCGCCACCACCCGCTACGATTATTTCAAGAAACTTAAATAATGAAATAATTAGCAATGTGACATCAACAACATTAGGAAAGAAAATTGCACCAAAAATTGCAGCAACACCCACGTCTACTACTAATTCAATGGCTGATGTAAGAACAATTTTACCAGCAAATTCAACACAACAATTATTTAAATTATCACGTACACCACGTCCGATTAAACCAAAAGGGAGAGAACGTGGACAAACATCACTAACACGAACAATAATGGAACAATTAAGGCCAATACAGTGTGTAGACAGAGAACAACCAAAAGATGATAGTATAGTTCTTAATGAGTCCACAGAGAAACCTTTTGTAAGTTCATAGATAATATAAACATTATCCAACCATTTTTAGGAAGCTATTTAATAACACATTAGAGAGCTATATTTATTGATGATGTTTGAAACGCGTGGAAAAAGTTTCAAAAATATATATATTTGTGTATAGAATTAATTTTAAAAGAGAAACTTAACGTTAAGAAACAAATTATTTGATCTTAACGAGGTCATAAAAAAAAAAAAAAAAAAAAAAAAAATCCTTGGAATTAATAAAATTTACTATAAATTCGAATCATCATGTGTTTATCTGATATATTTATATTGAGCGATGAAAAAACCGATTGTTCATAATTTAAATTTGTACTGCTTCAAAAATATCAGAGTTTATTTTTCATTCGGAGTTCTCATTAGTGCCTTAACATCTTTTTTATCAAGCAGATATATACTTTACAATGTTAAAAATGTATTTAACACTTTGATGAAGAAACGATAACCTCTAAATGACTAAAAACTTGCATCAATTTGATAAGCAGATGAAATTAAAAGTTTTATTATCCATCAGTAACAGTTGTAACATATTTATAAGTAAATATTACAATAGTCACAATAGTTAATAAGAAAAAAAAATTTTTTTACAAGAAAAATATTTTGGTGAAAGCAGTATTGAGAGGATTAAAAATGACCTCACATGTAAAAAAAGCTAAATATCTTATAAAGGGAATCATAAAAGCATAAAAGAAAAATAAATTTGAAGCGTTGTTTTATTTTTCATAATATAACAATGTAAAAGTAAAAAACCGTATTCACAGATAGATTTTAACCTCCAAAACCATAAAGAGTACGTCCTTGACGTTTGAGCGCATAGACTAAAAAAAAAACGATAAAGAGAGCATATTAGTAATGAATATAAAAATTATATGAAAAATATAAAGGAATGCGAAAGAAATGTGAAAGAATGTAGAGAGGTGCAATGCAAATGCTAATTAGAGAGGCATGCTCTACATATTAAAGAACTTACCGACGTCAAGTGATGTGACAGTTTTACGTTTCGCGTGTTCGGTATAAGTGACAGCATCCTTTAAAAGAAATAAAAAAACGAAAATAACATAGTTTAGTGTATATATATATTTTTTCCTAAAAAGGCAATAACCGACAAAGAACTTCGCCTTCAACGAGAGAAACACAAGAGACAGGTCCGAAGGAAAAAAGAAATATATTTTAACATACTCGAATAACATTTTCAAGAAAAACTTTTAATACACCACGAGTTTCTTCATAGATAAGACCCGAGATACGTTTGACACCACCACGGCGTGCAAGACGACGAATAGCAGGTTTAGTGATACCTTGGATGTTGTCACGGAGAATCTTTCTATGACGTTTAGCTCCACCTTTTCCGAGACCTTTACCACCTTTACCACGACCGGTCATTTTTTATTTAAGATATAGTACGAGAAAGACAAAAGATATTTTGCAAAACAAATAGTTGAATTAATTAATAAATTTGTTTTTTTTTTTTTTTCTGTATGAGAAAACTTGAAAGGGGAGAAAGTGAATATGTGTAATTTCTCAGCTAAAAACGGTAAAAAGTACCATATATAAATATAGGAGGGGGGCGCAAGTTCAGTTATAAGTGGTTACTCAAACATTAGCTGATTGTTGTATAAAAAAAAAACATCATTTTTTTAGTATCATTAATACTTTTATTCACCTGATCGCGAAACTCCGAGCAATCGACCTACCTCATAACAATAGTGCGGATCGAGCACTGGATCATATGTACAACTTTCAAACTCAAACGTGTCTGACGCATTCAGCATAAAAAGTAAATAATAATTTACTTTTATAGAACTCCTTTAAAGGGGCATGTTGCAGACTCGTGTTTATTTGATTATTTTTGTTTATTGTTTCTGTGATACCACAATAATCTGTCAAATATATATATCTTTTAACGTTAAGCTTTAAACATTCTGAATCTCTGTGGAATGAGAACGTACGTACGCACATATGTACATACGTATTTTACATTCTTCTCATATCATTTAAACGAAATTAGCGAATCAATAAATCTTTTCTAAGAATAATTAATTACTGTATTACGACTATTACAATGTTTTTAATGCTAAAATTCTTAAACGCATGTACATACGTCTATGTACGTACGACGTTACATACGTCCTAAAAATGATGATTCAGATTTATGCTTTATCAATTATATCAGTACATCGATATTGCTGTATTGTCATACAGAATTAGCCGAGTTGGTTCCGAACTATCATGTTCCGGAGCTTCTATGTCACGAGATTTGTAAATAAAAATTTATTTATTTGTTTACAAAAGAAAAAAAAAAGTTGAAAAAATAAGTAAAGTATATCAATATTAACGTAATAATGATGTTAGTAATGTAATGTAATATGTACATATTTTCCAAGGCTGAAGTTGAAGACAAAAAAATCGATCGATAACAATACAATTGTTATGAATTCTCTATGATTTTTGTTTGATTGGTTGATGTATTACTCGGGTTACCTAATTTATAACAATACTTTTTTGACTAGTCTTAAAAGAGATTAAATGTACAAATAATTTCGAAACGAAATTAATTATTAATACAGTATTGCTAGCTAAATATAGTTGTATATATATAAAAAAAAAAAAACGCAAATTCGGCGAAAAAAAAAAAAAAAATTAAGATTGCTGCATTGTGGGGATTATTTAATTATGATATTTAACGATTTTTATATTCTATTAAATTATGCAGGAATATAACTCTTTAGAAAGTTAAGTACGTATAAAGATGGTTAATTAAGTGGCAATTATTGAATTAGATGAATACGGAATACAAGTGACACTGAAATTAGGTTAAAAATATACGAAGGTTAAAGTTCCACTACTATTTGTATATTAAAATTCTTTAACTTGATTAGTCTTTGCTTTGCTCTACGTAAGAGTAGATAAATATCTTCCTATGTCTAATAAGGTCGAAAAGTACCATGATATATTTGATATTGACATACGTTTATATTGTACCGTACTGTATTTACTCTTATACTTTCTTTACTTTTATCGACTTTTAACGACTTTTTCGAGATTACACACATTTATTTTTATTCAGATTATAATTACCCTTGAATTTGGATGGATTTAGGTAGTATTTAGCAGTTAGGTGCATGTGCCGGATTTTCCAAATTATCCACGTGACCAGTTAAGGGATATTGCTGTAAAGTTAGATCAAAAAAAATAAAAATAAAAAACGCGTCGACGTATTAAACAGCATAGAGTTATCGTTCATCTTGTTTTCACTCTAACTTTGCTATTATTAAAAATGCCGAGACTCCCTGCAGATTGTCTTTCTATAATATTTAGCCATTTTTATAATGACTTAACAACTCTTTATTCTTGTCTTTTAGTAAACACTTTATGGTGTGCAACTATAATTCCGATATTATGGTCAAATCCTTGGAAATATCTTTATGAATTACTTCCAAATGGGTATTTATCAACTGATCATAAACGATCGACTCAAGTGGAAATTCAATCCTTGCTACTTTTAAGGACTCTCTCTGCCTGTTTCTCTGATGATTCTAAACAATTTTTACGTAATTACGGTATTCGTATCAATCTTGGGCCACCTCTTTTCAATTATGCAAAATATTGTAGATCCTTGAATACTTACGATATAGATTATATGTTAAGAAAGGCTCAGAGAAATCATCTTTGCTTTTATACTCAAGATACGAGAGACTTTGTAGGATTGGAAATTTATAAATTATTATTTCGTCAGAGCTCTATAATAACTTGCTTAGATATTTCACATCAACTATCTCCTATATATTCTCAAATTTGGCTGTTTCCTGGTGCTTCTTCTTGCTTTTCAACTTTAAAGGAATTATATTGTTACGAACCATATGCGATCGATTTAAATCTACTTTGCTGTATTGCTGATGTTTCAACTAATATCAGGAAATTATCTATTAATAGTAAGATATATATACATCATGATGAAGGATTGATCGATCTAATTTCGAATCAAGATGACCTTGATTCTTTAAGTCTAACAAACATTTCTAGTAGATTATGGTTAAAAGTTGCTGATGCTTTCATTTCTGGATATGCGATCTCTTTAACTCATCTTTATTTGATGTCATTTGATACTTGCTTTCCTGTGTTTGGTATTTCTGAATTACAAAATTTACAATCTTTGATTATAACTTGTCATGAAATCGACTGGTCTGGTATAGCAAATGCTTGTTTTCCGTTTCTGGAAATTTTAGAATTCGGAAGATATTTTCCTTCAATGATAATCTTGGCTTCAATAATTTCTAGAACAAACAAGATGCTTAAAAGGATTTATATAAGCAATTATCCATGCGTAGATCCAGAGAATTCTACCATGTTTTTTCGTGCTATCATTGATTTTTGTCCAAACCTTAGGTATCTTAGTGCTCCATTCAATTATATTACAG